AATTTTTTTTTTTTTTTTTTTTTTTGTATGTGTAAGTGTGGTCTGCCTTTCACACATAGATTGTGCCCCTCCTCATACACAATTTCAAACCCACTAACACACACACCACAAGCACAACGCACCCACGTTTGTATATATATATATATATATATTTTGGAATCCCAATCCCAATTAACAATTGACACACAACTTTTTTTTGGGTAAATGCACACAACTCCAATTACAGTAAGGTTAAAACTCTAAAACCCTAAAAGTGTATGAAATTCTTTATTTTTTATTTATTCACAATATTTGTGAAATATCTTTGTATTTTCTTTATCTCCCTTTGTTGCTTTGCAATTTACCGACTTGCGATTCACCAAATTAGGATCACACAACCTTGGTATCTTCTCTTCATTGTTTACAGGTAACTTTATTTTTTTTTTTTACTTTTAAATAAAAATTATGAGTATTAATTTATAGTTATTTGTTAAGTTTTGATTTGTAAAATTTTTTGATTTGTTATTATTTATGTTAAAATAAGAGATTTTGATATGCTAAAATTATGAATCTTAATTGGTGGTGATTTATATTAAAATTAGGGATTTTGGTTTGTTGTTGTTTGTGCTAAAATTAGGGATTTGATTTGTGCTAAAATTAAAAATATTAATTTGCAGTGCTTAATATTTAAATTAGGGATTTTGATTTGTTATAATTTGTGCTAAAATTAAAATTTTTGATTTGTTGTGATTTGTGCTAATTTAAATTTTTTGATTTGTATTAAAATTACAGATTTTGATTTGTGGGGGGTTTGAGATTTTGATTATGAATTGTTATTTTGATTTTTAGTTTTTTCAAATAGTCATGGAGAAATATTTCAAAAGAAAATCAAAGTTGGAATCATCTCTTTCTCAAGAAAAAGATGATAATTAATCTTCCGCAAAACAAAGTCGCATAGAAATCAACTTAGTAGACCTTCCTGCAGATCCAGGACTACCATCTCGGATTATGGACTGTAATGCTTATGATCGAGACCGAATTCGTAGGGCATATCTACAAAAAGGTCCTTGTCAACCTCGTGATCATAATTTTCCACAAAAATCATTTGGACAAAAACTTCGGCGATTTAATCAGGCTTGGTTTAGTGAATTTCCTAATTGGTTGGAGTATAGCGTAGTAAAAGATGCAGCATTTTGTTTATGTTGTTATCTTTTCAAACCCGATATTAGAGATCAAGCTGGTGATGATTCTTTTGTTGGTGAGGGTTTCTCAAATTGGAAGAAAAAAAAAATTTAGACTCATGTTGGAGGTCCCAATAGTATTCATAATCAAGTTTTCGAGTAAATGTCAAGACTTGTTAAACCAAAACCAGCATATTGAAACGATTTTTTTCAAACAATTTGATCAAGCTTGAATTGAGTATCGAACCCGTCTAAATTCATCGGTTGATTGTGTTAAATTTCCTCTAAGACAAGGACTTGCGTTTCGTGGGCATGATGAATCTGAAAATTCAAGTAACCAAGGAAATTTTCTTGAACTTCTCAAGTTTCTTGCTAATCATAATGAAGATGTCAAAGTGGTTGCATTGAGCAATGCTCCACAAAATCTCAAGTTGACATCTCTTGATATTCAAAAAGACATTGTAAATGTGGCCGCATTTGAAACTATCAATGTGATTATTAAAGATCTTGGTGATGCACTTTTTTCTATTTTGATTGATGAAGCCCGTGACATATCATTCAATGAGCAAATGGCAATTGTAATACGATATGTTGACAAAAAAGGACAAGTGATTGAGCACTTTTTGGGTATTGAGCATGTTGCTAATACGAATGCTCTCTTACTTAAACAAGCTATGGAAAATTTATTCTCCAGACTTGGATTGAGTATTTCCAGATTGCTGGGTCAAGGATATGACGGGGCTAGTAATATGCAAGGTGAGTTCAATGGTTTTAAAACACTTATACTGAAAGAGAATCCTTGTGCATATTATCTTCATTGTTTTGCTCATCAATTGCAATTGGCACTTGTAGCCATGGCAAATAATCATAATTAAGTTGCTTTACTTTTCACTTTGGTTTCTAATGTGGTGAATGTTGTTGGAGTATCATGTAAACGTCGAGATATTGTTAGGGAGAAGCAAGCTGCAAAAGTTGCTGAGGCACTTAATAATGGAAAGCTATCTAGTGGGCAAGGCTTAAATCAAGAAACTAATCTTAAACGTGCTAGTGATACACGTTGGGGTTCATACTATGGTACTTTAGTAAGCTTGGCTAGTATGTTTTTAACAATGATTGATGTGCTTGAAATGATTTCAGATGGTTCAAATTCAGAACAACGAGCAGAAGCAAATGTATTGTTGGACTCAATTCAATCATTTGAGTTTGTATTCAACTTTAATTTGATGAAAATGATATTGGCTATTACAAGTGAGTTATTGCAAGCACTACAAAGGAAAAATCAAGATGTTGTTAATGCCATGAATTTAGTTCAAATTTCTAAAGTACGACTCCAAAAGATAAGGGAGAGTGGGTGGACATCTTTACTTGATGATATTTTGTCTTTTTGTAAAAAGCATGAAATTGATGTTTCCCAAATGGAAGATATGTTTGTAGCTTGAGGGAGAAAAATGCGCAATGCTCAAGAAATTACAAACTTACATCACTGTCGCGCTGAGTTATTCTACATTGTTTTGGATATGCAAATTCAATAACTAAATGCTCGTTTCACTGAGTCGAATACTGAGTTGTTACTTTGTGTGGCATGTTTGAATCCATCTAACTCTTTCTCTAGTTTTGACAGGAAAAAGTTAATTCATTTTGCTGAATTTTATCCCAAAGAATTTTCTTCAATGGAGCTTATGGTACTTAATGATCAACTTTATACATATATTATCGACATGCTATCCAGTAGTGAGTTCTCAATGTTGAATGGAATTGCCGATCTTGCTAATAAAATGGTAGAAACTAGAAGAGACAAAGTATATCCATTGGTGTATTTGCTCTTGACTTCAGCATTAATCTTACCTGTTGCAACTGCTACTGTTGAGAGGGTATTTTCAACTATGAATATTGTGAAGAATCGGTTGTGGAACCGAATGGGTGATGAATGGATGAATGATAGCTTGGTTGACATTGAGAGATATATTTTTGATGGTATTGACAATGATACTATTATGGAAAGATTTCAAAAGATGAAAACTCGTCGGGGTCAATTATAAAAGTTTAAAATTTAAATTTTTTTGTAATTGATATTAATTTTTAATGTTTAACATTAGCTCGAAAAATTATTATTATGTTATTGCTATTGATTGGGTAAGAAAAATTTTGAGATTGTAATTAACGCACTACAGGAAATTCGAGTTTTAGCGGCGTTTTTAAAACGTCGCTAAAAGCCTGAAAAACGCCGTAAAGGTTTTAGCGACGTTTAAAATTTTCGCCGTTGATACGGCCGCCGCAATAGGTTTGCAGCGTTTGATAAACGTCGCTAAAACTATAAAACGATGTTTTTTAAAACGCCACAAAATGTTGACGTCCGCTTCTATTACCGTCACAAACTAACGTGTGACGTGAGCATGACGTCATTTAATGGCGTTTTTAAAAAACGCCACCTTTTTTTTTTTTTTAATATAAATATTTTGTCCAAAGCATACCATTTTAGAAAATATGCATTATAATGAATCTGAAAAAACAAATCTTCCACTAGACTAAGCCAAATACATTATAATGAAATCCAAAAAAACAAAATTCAAATTCACACTCTAGATACTTCAAATACCACATGAAATTAGGCAACAATCTACACAAATCATCCAATTTCAAAGCCATATTACTCATCTATGATATATACACACTTATAACTTGGTAATTATATATGCTTACCAATAGTTAATGGAACTGTATCTTAACAACCAATACATCAAACAGTACATAGAGAAGCAGAAGGCAGATCATTAAATGTCAGAAAGTCTTGGTAATTGTATTGAAATATCAACTCTAAAATCACAAGTTTTCATTTCAATTTTGACTAAATTTGATCACATCTTCTTGGGTCAGCAAAATTCACAGCCGTTGTGAGCTGTGGGAGATTCTTGCAGTTTTCTTCTTGAATTGGACACAAGATTCTGAGCACCTTGGAGGATGAGATCAATGGCTTCCAACAAGCTGCAAAACAACAATGAAACATAGATAATGCTTAATTTTGATTTGTCTAATATATACATTCAAATTGGCTTATTTCTTGTACCATTTCTTTAATTAGAGATTTTATTGAAAGTATAAATAACAAAATCAATATTTCCATCACATGTGTAGCAAAATCAAAATATAGAAGAGCTCAGAATGCAAATAGAATTGAAAACAAGCTAGCTTACTCCTAACAGTCAACAAGGCAATACATACCTACCTCATCAATGAGAATATGGGATGTTAGATCATTGCTGCCCCACATATTACACCAAAGTAATAGACACAATGAAAAGAAGAAAAAGAGGAAAGGTTTCTTCTGTCTGGATGGGTGGGGGTGGGGGTGGTGTTGTGTGTGTCCACTGTATAATTTAGTCTAGAATAATGTAAAATTGTATAATTTTTTTTATTTGAAATAATTTAATTTTCTTATTTTATTAGTTTTGATTTAATATCTTATTTCATCAATTTTTTGATTCTCCCATATGATGCCAGAACAAGCCTCGTAATCTTTTACGACCTATATAGAACCTTTTAAATTCTTCTCTCTCTGTAACATGGATCTTTAGTTACTTCCATCTTTCCTTGGTCACTAACTACTATTCTGGCAAGTTCTTAGTTCATTTCTTTCTCTAATAATAATCATCATAAATAAACCAAAAGACCAAAGTAGACACAAACAGATCCATATATAGATTAACAATCCCTGAAAACAAACTATCCCTGAAACCCAACTCTTTCTCTTTATGTGATATTGTTTTTTTTTATTTTTTGTTTTCGGGAAGGCAAGTGGCTACTGGTTCAATGGTTAAAACTCAACTTATTAACCTGATAGATTGTGGGTTCAAACCCGAGGACACCCACTTCGTGCAAAGAGTGCAAAAGGTCAAGTCTATGCCCAATCTACTTCCTCACAGACCCCAATCCAATGGAGACTAAAGTACTTTTTACCACCACCACAACTAGTACTAATACTATTATTTGAATGGTATTTGTTCTAAAACTAAAAAGCATAAATTTCTATAGAAGAGACTTGGGAATGGCCTTTGCAGGCCTATACATGTGTACATTTCTTCTTCTTTTTCCACATTTTATGGATGATAACTTATGCATATATATTAATAGACAGTACATATATCTGAGGGTATGTCCTATTATTTCTGAATTTACACCTCAAGGTGTATGTATCATGTGTCCATGTCCTATCTCAACGTCTATGTATCATGTGTCCATGTCCTATCTCAACATCTATGTAACATAGGTCCCTATAACACTAGTAAAACTAAAATGTATCTTCAAAGTTACAACACTCTTAATGGGTTAAGCCACCTCAGATTTATGTTTGAAGCTCAACTAATTTAGTAAGTTGGGTGTTTCGTTGCAAACATCTAGCCCTGCCACAACTCTTAAAGGCAATAAAACCCATAACTCCATCACTATCCAAAGAGTTTGTTCATATAGTTTATGAATAGTAGACAAAATAAGAAAATGAATGTGTCGATGTCATAACGGATACCTAGTTGGGTTACTTGAAGGAGCCCAAAGAACACATATCACCACTAAGAGAGAGAATGCAAGCAGAGTCCAAAAAGCAGGAATTATCCAGGCAATTCGCCACAGCTCACTCAATGGGTCACTTGCATTGAAGTACAGCTGAGCCAACATGAGTCAATAGTCAGTATTCATTGAGGTTAGTATATAAATGAGATCATCAGACCAGTTTTCATCAGTCATCAATGTTTATGAAGCCATGAATATATATATATATATATATATGTATGTATAATATTAGGTTGTGAAAATTTAGAGCTAGAATAATCAATAGAAGAAAAGATTATGAACAATTCTAACCTTGAATTCAGTAGACTCCAACGGCCTTCTTACATTGAATTTGTCCTATCTACTTCTTCTTCTTCTTTTTTCCTTTCTTTGATATGTGAACCTACATTTGATAAGAACAAATAACATGAATAAAATGTCATATTGAAAATTTCACAATTAACTATTTACTCACCTCCTCAGACGAATGATGACAATTAAACGATGAAGTGTATGCATGGGATTGTTGCTGTGAATGCACATGTGTAGAAGCTGGTGCAACAGGCCCACCCATGGCCTGTTGAGACTCCAATAAAGAAAAGAGAGAGTGCATGAGTTAAATATTTTCATTCTGTCTAAATAATTACAATGACAGGGGGTCTATGTAATTTTCTAAATGTCAGAGATGATATGTATTAAATTCAAATTTCAGGAGGTGTAAGTGTAATTTACCTTTTTTTATTTATTTTTATGTTTTATTTTGATTTTTTCACGAGTCATACAAAAGATGGCACACTGAATCTATTATATCAAATTTTGATGTCTAAACAATGAACGAAGAATACAGGGCAAATCAACCACATTAGGGGCAACTCCTCTAACATTAAAAAATCAAACTCACATTCATCTCTTTTCTTGTATAAAAAGCAAAGTGTTGTTGCTTAAATGCTCATATGATTATGTTAAAACAAAATGAAAGTGGGTTTACTTGTGAGTGTGTATATGTATACATACCAGTTGGCGATGAAGGAGAAGGCAGAGTTGCCGAGCTTGTAAGAAGAGATGCGGGTGAAGGTGCATATGTTGCGACGGACGAGCTTCCTGGCAGCGGAGTCGACGAGGTGAAGGGGGCGGTTAGACCTGCGGCACCACTGCTCGATGTAGATGTCGGTCCAGCAATAGGGGCCAGCCACAGCCTCCAACTAGGACCTGCACACCAGACCCACCGTCTTCACCCTCTCCTGCGCCTGTAATGAAATTTCGAAAGAATTATTTTCAGAGTAAAAGTAATTTAATATTTGCTCCCAAGAGCAAGTCAAATATGATATTTAATTGCCAAGCAAAACAATACCCAAATGCTTTTGCCTTGGCATGAAACAGTTATGATGATTGCGCGGGCTCCATCAACTGTTAACGTTTCACTCATACTACCCTACGCTCAGCAGCATGGTTACCCAGTTTTGTCAGTTTTAAGTGGCAACATGTCCTAGAGTTGGAAATTGCATTCCCTTAGAACACAGGATTTACATTTGTCTTCTTCCTAGCAAATGGAAATCCATCTTATTAAAATACAAACTACTCATGTATAGCCAAAGGAGACAATCAACTCATACCTTTTGCATGTCTGGCTCGATGGAATGGGGTAATGATTTTAGACTAGCCAAGTACCATCTCCAAGCTTTCAGAGCTTCTGCATCCCCAATTTCATAGGACTCCACGGACAATGGACAGAAAGGAAGAACCAGATCAGCCAGCAGGATGTTTGATTTCCCCTCAGAAAGAATTAGTAATTGGACATCCGCTTCCATCTCCATCTTGTAGTACTTAAAATCATACTCCACCTGGCAAGTGAAAGACACAAAAGCATGTACTTAGCCCCAAAAGTTGCCTCTGAAATCAATGTTGTAGTCATTCAGCAATGCACAAGAACAAGATTGTAAAAGTAAAATTATACAGCTTTCCAATGCTTGTGTACATAACACCTATCATAAACCTTTATCGCAAGATTTTACTACATGACATGTATACAACTGGGACATAAGTTGGAAATTACTTTTTGCAACTACATTAGATTCTTTATTAATCTTGCGTTCTCAACCCTGACAGAGTTGAGTGTCCCTGCTTTTAAATGTGTCTCATCAATCATCATGTGTAAGCCCTCAGCTAGCTGCAGAACTCCAGACACCAGTCTGGAGCATAAGCATATGAACTTGTAAGAAAATAATGACCAATACAGATGTCAATCTCTAGTTGCACAAACCAAAAATTCTTTACCTGTTTGTTTCGTAATCCTTTCTTGGGGAAAGTGAAGCAGTGTTGAGATAATCCACGGTAAGAGGTATAAAATGAGTGAAAGGCACAAGATTTTTGACAGCAAGGTTAAGACAATTGCCAAAGGAAAAGGATCATATTCACCTTCACAAGACAAGGAAATGAATTTCTGTCAAAATCAAACACCATACTTGTACTAGGACAAGTTCCCTCAGTTGTTGACTCCTCCAGATGAGAAGACAGGGAAGCCGGACCACCTTCTCATTGTAAAGAAGGAAGAACTATTAGATTAAAGGAAGAAAATTAATGACAACCACCATTTCAATAATAATAATAATAAAAGAACTACCATTTCAACAATTCTCATTTGCTTTACTACTTCAAAGTGATTCAATCCTTAAGAACAAATCTGCTAAAATGTTCAAGAAAATTTCTATACTATGCAACTGTATATCTGTCTCTGCCCCCTTTAAATTTTGGTCTTTCGCATGGTTTCTTGAGATAATTATATGACAACTGTTAACTTGACAACCACTTTCATGTAACGGTAAGATTTACAAAGCAAAAATGAGGCCACCATTGACATTGCTCTAATGTTTTGATGACAACAATAGTTGTGATACATTATGAGCCACTATATATCGATCTATAATTTCTGGCAATTAAACCTACATGGTTGAAACTTAAAAGTTACAGCATGGAAGTTTCTTGGTTTTCACCCAATTAGAAATTTTGATATGAACTTGAAGCAAGCTATCCCAGATAATTAAACATAACTTGCATTAACCATGAATTTCTATATTTTATCAGGAAATTGAAAAGAAATCCATAAAGAATAAGAGGCAAACTAATGTCAGAGTAGCTTACCATCTTTTTCGTACATGGAGAATCCTGAATCTCATGATCTGACACTTGTCATCAAACAAAATACGTCAGAATACTAAGAACACAGCATGAGAACCCCCCGCCCCCCCCAACAAAAAAAATAAATAAATAAAGTCAACATAAGCAAGCTATACATAAAAAAACAAAATCAACACTATATAATTTAAACACCGTTATTTTGGCAAGTAATTCCAAAACATTTTCTAAACACAAGTATAAACCAAACTAGATCATTGAGCCCAAAGAGATCTTTTGCACAAAACCACGGGATGACTCCAACTAAAGCATCCAAATAATCATATATAGCAGCAATATATATATATATATATCAATTGATCAGAAGCAGCAAAAACAACCACTTCGAATGTGTAGTTTTTATATTTGACAATATTACGCTCTACTTTGTAGCTGAAAAAAATCCAAACTATACATCTTTCAGGTATCTGTCATTCAAGCTTGGCTTATCAATTTCACCTGGTATGGACTTGCAAATTCTAACTGTTGGAAGACTGAACTAGTTGATCTTTTAATATTTGAAGTGCAAAATATTAAAATCTAAAAACAGACAACAAATTGCCAACAATTTAACCACACCATAGTTTACTAGTGTATTTCCTGGCAATCAAAACAGCATAGTTTGTCAAACAAGTGATATACAAAAGCCAATTAGAGACCATAAACAATTATATAAACTAGTTTTTTTTTTTAACTAAAGAACGAAAAAATTACAGAGAAAGTAGAACATATTAGCAGATTTGACAATGAGAAAGTAGAGAATGAGAAATGTACCTGATATAAGAGCAAGAGAGATCAGCTAGAACAGATCGATTTTGGATTTTGGATCTGCGATTTGATGAAGAACAGATTGATTTGATGAAGAACAAATCGAGTTCGAGTTCGAGTTCTATGAAGAACAGCTAGAGCAAAGCCCTCGAGCAATAGAGATCGATGAAGAATAGCTAAAGAGTTCGATTGCAAGTGACAGAGATCGATGAAGCGCAAACCATCGAGGGTTTTGGATCTGCAATCGAGCAAATCGAGGGTTGAGAATGAGAAATTGAGCGAGCGAGCGGGAGTGTGTGTTTGAAACTGAGTGAGAGAGAGTGAGAGCTTCAAATCGAGGGTTTTGGAAGAGAGGGAGACTGAGTTGTGATAGAGACTGAGAAAGAGAGACTGAGTTCAAAGAGACTGAGGTTTTGACGGTCAATACATTGACCCAATACGGCGCCGTTTCACTGAGATCATACACAACAACGTTGTGTATCGTTAATTTATAGTGGCATTTCCCTAAACGCCATAAAAAAAACGTTGCTGTAGGCCATTTTTCCTGTAGTGATAATGATAATACCACGTTATCATTGATATGTGATATCACCAACTAATAATACATAAACACATAGAAAGCAAACCTTACGTGTCAAATGTAACTAACAATCCACTAAATTTCATATCTTTATAATGAGATTACTTATACTTGCATGTCAATAATAATGACACAACCGTTACATTCAAAAAATTTCATAGATAATATAGTTTATAATAGTCTCTTTATTTTCAATTAAAACAAGGGAAAATTAGTTTAAGGTCCTTCTCACACTTTTAGTGATAGAAGAGATCCACAATATTATTTTGTGATGTTAAAAGTCCCTTAACCTTACACACATATATCCAGAGAAATTTCACTTACTTTCTCCTTCTACACACATGAACACATTTCTAAGCTTTTCGACACAATGCGAACATGTATAAACGACGATTATAAGATATTAACAGATTTTAATATATACTTTCTACAGTATCTCCACGTATCTGTTTGTACATACACGAGCTGGGTTGTACCACTTCGTTCCAAGTTTTCTTTTCAGATTCACTAGGTTAAACTATTGAGTTGCACCACTTCGCTTCAAGTTTTCTCTTCCACCATTAGATGTAATCTCTCTCTCATTCTCTCTCTCTCTCTCGCTCTGATTCGATCAACCATGAACCGTTTCAACACCGATTCGAAGGGTTGTTCAGCACTGATTTGAAGGAGCCAGTCCGCCGCCGGCAGTCGTTATTGCCAAGTTTGCCGTCGAAGAGATCGTCGCCGAAGAGATCTCTGTTCGCTCAGATCCAAGCAGAGAAGGTCATTACTGACAAGGTATGGTCGATCGAAGCCATCCTTTCTGTGTTGTGTCTGACCAGAGGTATGACTTTCTGCTGGTGGAGTACGGCGTTTCGGTGGTGACCATTTGCTAGTTTGTGAGTTTGGTGAAGCTGTCAAGGCGTTCATTGGCTATATATATATAATGTAATAGGCTTCATTGCATTTTCCCCCCTCTATATTTATCTTATTGATGTATACAAAGTTGCCCATGATGTTAAGTAGAGAAATTTCCCTCCATCTCTGACATCCCAATCACAGAAAATGGAATTTCTCTGGTTTGGGTTGGAGAGGGAGAATTTCTCTAGGTTGAGTGAATTTCTCTAGATTGGAGATGGAAATTTCTCTAGTTTTGAGTGAATTTCTTTGAGTTAGAGAGGGGAATTTCTTTGGGTTGAAGTGAATTTCTCTGAAAAATCTCAGAATTTCTCTGGTGAGATTTTCTTTGTGCAGTCCAGAGAATTTGAAAGATCTTAGACATTATGAAAATATTGAATGTCCTTTATGTTATAAAATCTTAATATAAAAGACCCTAAATAAAATCCCCTTAAAACAACCATTATTATTCTTCTAATTTTTAAAATGTCATTGACATTTCACTCTAATAATATTTTTAAATTTTTTTTAATTGAAAATATTTTCTTTATGTTTGCAAATTAAAAAAAAAAAATCCCAAAATACGTGAACCCCCGTCTTCGCCATTGGTTATGGACTTATATGATTAAAACAATAATAATATAAATAAATCAAAAAAATATTATTAATTGGACATTCAATCACATAATATTGTTGTACAAAATTTTATAGTTAGTGGTAAAATTGGAATGAACCATCGCCCATCCTTTATAGCGTTAATGGAAAATTTCTGAATTAAACTCTTAGCATTTTATTTTTTATTTTAAAATACCTATAAATTATGTAAATAGATTAAGACAAATAATTTGAGATAAAATTTAATGTTTTGAAGTGTTTTGAAAAGTTGGTTAAAAATTGATTTATTGATTTTTTTTATTACTAATTTTTTTTTAAAAAAAATGAGTAAAAAAAATAAAAAAGATGATGACTCAAAAAAATTAAAAAATTGACTTTTAACTAATTTGCCAAAATAGCCTTTGTGACAAAAGAACTTGCGTTAATGTGAAATCTAACGAGGATCCTCTGTCTCTAAATTACCCTCCTCCCCTATCCCAAATTATTTATAATTATTAAATTATATAAAAATTTCAAGATATATCTAATAATTATAAATAATTTAGGACAGAAGAGAAAATTATTTAGGAAGATAAATCCTAGGGGTGTGTCACCCTTCGACCATTGTAAAAAGTCACGTGATTCTCAAGATCGTTGACCATATAATTATAAACTATTGGAAAGTTTCTAAAATTGAACTTTTACCAGTGACTAAGTCAAAGGTCAAAACATCCTCATCCCCGTAACAACGTCAAAAACACGTCATTGTTTTTTCTTCCCCCCTCGTTAAACAGTAAAAACCTCTTCATCTCTCCTCCTTACCACGTCATCTTCTAGAAAGAACCACATATACATACACACCCCTCAAACAAACGAACGTGATACTCGTCGCCACGCCACACTCCTTATTACGGGCTCACCCGGTTTCCCGGAGACTCTCTGAGATCTTCGTATTCATAAAACATACGTAATATGTGATCCCAACACGTGTCCTCATGCACCTACTATTCAACCACCCTAATGTTAATAAAATCACCTCTCACATATACATATATATATATACCCCTCTTCCTCCATCATCCTAACCCTTCCCCAAGAATTTATCTACTGTTCCCTCTTCCCTCTCCCAAAATCACTCAATCACAGACTTTCAATTTCTTCCTCGATCTCTTCCGAATTCTTCTGTGTCTCATCATCCACATATCTTGCCGAATGATCACAAGAGACAGAGGCACTGGTGGTGGCGGCGCAACCCTCGCCGTCTTTAGAGAGAGGAACAGTTTCCGGCGTCCTAAGTCTGCAACGCTCTTGCATTCTGAATCCGGTCGCGTTTCGACCAATCAACAACAACAACAACAACAGCAAGATGAGACTAATTATTACTTGTCACGCCGCAACAGCAATGCCTCCGCGGGATCTTCCTTGAGCCGTGACACAGACGTAGACACCACCTCCTCCTCTTCTCCATACTTTATTTCGCCATTGAACCAATCGTCCCGTTATTATAACAGGTCACCATGGACTCAAGCTTCCCCTAGGACATCCATGGATGATGATGACAAAAACAAATTCCCTCATCACGGTTTGATTGGTTCGATGGTTCGCGAAGAAGGCCATATATATTCTCTGGCAGCTTCTGGAGATTTGTTGTATACTGGGTCCGATAGCAATAACATTAGGGTTTGGAAGAATTTTAAGGAGTATTCTGGGTTTAAATCAAACAGTGGTTTAGTTAAAGCCATTGTTATCTCCGGCGATAGGATATTCACCGGCCACCAAGACGGTAAAATCAGGGTCTGGAAACTCTCTCCCAAGAATCTCCGGAAACCTTACAAGAGATTGGGAAGCTTACCCACCACCAAAGACTTGGTGAAGAGCTCGTTCAACCCCAGAAGCTACGTGGAGGTTCGCCGCCACCGGAATGTTCCATGGATCAAGCATTTCGACGCCGTTTCGTGCATGAGCTTGGACGAAGATCAAGGGCTTCTCTACTCTGGTTCCTGGGACAAAACCCTCAAAGTTTGGAGAATATCGGAGTCGAAATGCCTAGAATCCATCAACGCCCACGACGACTCAATAAACTCTGTGGTGGCGGGCTTCGGGGGAATGGTCTTAACGGGGTCAGCCGACGGGACGGTGAAGGTATGGAGGAGGGAATTATTGGGGAAGATTTCAAAGCATGTTTTGGTGCAGACATTGTTGAAGCAAGAGAGTGCGGTGACGGCGGTGGTGGTGAACGCTCCGCCGGCGATGATATACTGCGGGTCGTCTGACGGGCTGGTGAATTATTGGGAGAGTGAGAAGAAGATGGCCCACAGAGGGGTGATTCGCGGCCACAAGCTGGCCGTGCTGTGCCTGGCCACGGCGGGGAACATGTTGTTTAGTGGATCCGCGGATAAGAGTATATGTGTGTGGAGGAGGGATGAGGGTGGTGACCACACCTGCTTGTCTGTTCTGACCGGCCATTGTGGGCCCGTTAAGTGCTTGGCCGTTGAGGAAGATCACAACGAGAAGGCCGGTGGTGATGATCGACGGTGGGTAGTATATAGTGGGAGTTTGGACAAGTCGGTTAAGGTTTGGAGAGTTTCTCAATACGCGCCTGATTTTCAGCAGTTTCAAAATATGTGAATTCATGTGCAGGACTATGGTGGCGTACTGGTATGAGCAAGGATCCTCTAGAGTGATTTTTCTCTAAAGTTTCTTAGAGTGCTACATTGTGTGGTTGAGATTTACTGGCAAGTCATATCAATTTTTCTGATGTGACTTGCCAGTAAATCTCAACCATACAATGTAGAGATTTACTGGTATGGTACAGAACTTTGGTTTTTTTGACAAAATAGTGGCGTGCATGGTCTACGGCTCGTAAAATTATTCAATCTACTTGGTATCATATCATGTGATTATAACCTCTATCAATATATAAACCCCGCGTCTTTTTTGTAATTCAACAAAATTGTAAATTTTACTTTCTCCATGAATCATAGATATCACTTGACTAAGACCCCTGAATAACTCCCCCTACCGTACCCTAGATCTTATTCTTTTCTTTAAAATTTGTCATTGTTTGAGGATTGAGTGTTTTTAAATGGGTGAGACTTGTCTTCAAGCTTACTTTGTGAATTGGATGGTGCTGTTGCTCGTGGGCTCATAACGAGTCATGTTTTTATAATTTAAATCGTTTAATATGTAGAACTCGTCTAATATTTTATCTCTATAAAAAATCATATTGATTGGATATCAATAGTTATTTGATCGGACCAGATTTTTGTCAATAATTTATTTTTCAAATTATATTTACAATTGACAGAAATTTGATTTGATCAAGTAGCTATCGATATTCAATCAATGTGATTTTTTACATGAATAAAGTACTCAACGAGTTCTATACATTGAACGATTCAGATTATCAAAATAGGACCTGTGGTAGGTCTTCACGGGCCTAACAACACGCTTTAATCCGATCTCTAGCTGAAAAGAAACCTGGCCCTTTCTAAATTTAGATAAGGAGAGTTTGAAATAGAAAAGAAATGACATCGAGAATATTTTGCAAATCGCTTTCCTTCTTTTTTTTTTTTTTTTTTTTTTTTTCTTATTTTTATTGTTTTAAAATTCTTTTGTATAGATGCATGAGAAATATAAAAATATGATAGTAATCTCTAGTAGTAGTCTTATATGTTGGCTTTTTTGGCTTTCAAATGTTATTATTATAATTGTGAGTGTGCTAGGAAGGATCAATCAGTCCTTACAGAACATTAATTGCCAACCAATTATCAGACGATTGTATTTTAGTTCTTTTAGCCTCAATAAAAATGACTTTTATTTGTGGCTTTATTTAGGAGAACTAAACAAACAATGATTAAATGAAAAACAATTGTAGCAGAAATATAAAAATATGAGAGTAATCTCTAGTAGTAGTCTTATATGTTGGCTTTTTTGGCTTTCAAATGTTATTATTATAATTGTGAGCGTACTAGGAAGGATCAATCAGTCCTTACAGAACATTAATTGCCAACCAATTATCAGACGATTGTATTTTAGTTCTTTTAGCCTCAATAAAAATGACTTTTATTTGTGGCTTTATTTAGGAGAACTAAACAAACAATGATTAAATGAAAAACAATTGTAGCATTTCATTGAGTAAAATGAAAGACTTACAAAGATCCAAATCAGCCTCGTAGAGGTTTACATCAGCAAACTATTTAAAACTACTCCTACGAATGAAGTGCAGTGCAGTGCAGTAACTGAAGTACAGAAATGTAAAGAATAAGAACTGTAAAAACTGGAAAGGAAATAAAGTAGAATAAAACTGATTTTTTTTATCTGAGTTTGGGGGCCACTTTTTGGGACCTTCTCTGCTATTTATACTTCTCAAAACAACCGTCGAACTGCATTTCTAACCGTCGAACCATCCCTTCATTGTCGTTGATCATGTTGCCTTATAGTTAGCTCCATTATGCTATATCTGCAGTTAGGCTTCCCTCTTAGTTTTGAATTTAAATATGAATAACCGTTAGAGCCACGTCATTTTGCATCTATTTGTTGATCTAGTGTTTATGCAGATCCACAATAACCAATACTAACTGACACGTGTGTGATTACGATTGAAGATTCAAATTGTTTTCCCGTATTGCCCTTATCTTGCCACGTGTCGAACTATGATTGGCTTATACAAAATATGTAGCCAACATTACTCCCCGCACTAATATACCCAATACTTAGTGATTTTAGTGGATTAAGTTCTATCAAATACAGTCCCATTATCAACAGTTATGGTCTGTGAGATGCCAAATCTATGGATCAGATCTTTACTGAATCCAATAATTTCAATCTGGTCTACAGCCTTATACGGTTTAGCTTCGACCCACTTAGTGAAGTAATTTGTGGCTACTAGGATGAAACAATGATGGTTCGAAGAGGGTTGGTGTATTTTCTCTATCATGTCCATGACCCATCCTCTAAACGACCAAGGCTTCACAACTGCATGTAGATCAGTTATAGGTACATGCCTTATTGCGCCATACTTCTAGCATGCCTGGCAACCTCTAGCATATTCTATGCAATCCTTAAGGATGGTTGACCAATAGTAAGAATGCCTTCGATGCAACCATCTCATCTTCACACCAGGCTGATGAACACTACAGATGCCTTCATGAACCTCAGCCATGGCTGTCAATGCTTCCTTTGGACCTAAACATTCTAATAATAGCCCATCTGCCCCCCTTTTGTAGAGAGCATTACCATACATTATGTATTGCATAGACTGCAATTGAATTTTTCTGCTGGCTTTCGAAGATGGGCCAGCTAGATACTACATTATTGGATGTCTCTAATCTTGTTCTTGTAAGTCATTATGATTGACTTCTAAGACTATGTTCCTTTTATTCAAAGGTAGTATTACCTTCTAATATGTTGTTTGGCTTTTGTTCCTTTGAGTGTTGTCTATTCTCTTGAAATTCGAAACTTTCTGAGCCACATCATTAGCTTTACTATTCAAGAATCTCGGGACATAAGTTACATTTGCTATCTGAAATTGAGACAGCAAATGTAATGCAACAATATAGTATGGCAACATGTTTACACTTTGACATTTGAAAATCCCTTTCACCTAGTTAACTATCAATTGAGAATCTCCAAATATGTCAACTGTATGTGCTTGTAATCCAATAAGTATTTCCAATCTCAATATTAAAACTTTGTATTCAGCTTGATTATTGGAACAGGTAATTTCATCCACCTTGAAACCATGTGTGGTTTCTACCCCTTGTGGTGACTTAATCACCATACCAATTCCAGTCAGACCATTAGCTTTTGATGCATCGAACCACATTTGTCATGGTTCAATACTAACCATACCAAGTTCCATTATCTCTTGGCCTTTTGTTCGGCATGGATGGTCTGCCAAAAAATTAGCTAAAACTTGTCCTTTTATTGCCTTTTGGGGGACATATTCTAGATGAAATTCTGATAAAGCTAGTATCCATTTGCCAATTATTTCCCTTAACATAGGTCTAGATAACATATATTTAACCAAATATGTGGTTGCAATTACCAAGGCAGTTGTAGGCAAAAGATAGTATCTTAATTTCATTGCAGCGAAATACAATGCAAGGCACAGCTTTTCTACAGCTGAATATTTACATTCACAAGAATTTAGAAACCTACTAAGGTAATAAACAGCTTGCTCCTTGCCTTCTTCATTATCTTGGGCTAGGAAAACTCTTAGTGAATCTTCTGCTACAACTATATACAACTTCAAGGACTTATCACCCTTTGGTGGCATCAGCATCGAAAGGTTGGCCAAATAGGCTTTGATTCCTTCGAAAGCAGTTTGATGCTCTGTTGTCCACACAAATTTCTCTTCATCTTTCAACTTTAATAAGGAAGAAAATACTTTAGTTTTCCCTGCAGTATTAGAAATAAATCTTCGAAGAAAATTAACCTGCCCAAGGAACTTTTGTACTTCTTTCTTACTTGATGGAGATCTGCCTTTAATGATGGCTTTGGCTTTATTTTGATCAATCTATATTTCCTTCTTGTGTACTACATAGCCCAAGAAGTTTCCAGTTGATACGCCAAAAGCACATTTGAGAGGATTGAGTTTCAACTTGAACTTTCTCATTCTTTCAAAAGGTACCTCCAAGTGAAACAAATGTTCCCCTATGGATTGGGACTTTACTACAATATCATCAATGTAGCACTCTAAGTATCCTCCAATGAGATCATGAAAGATAGTGTTCATAACTTTTTGATATGTAGCCTTAGCATTCTTCAGACCAAATGGCATTTTAACCCACACTACAACAAAAAGCACCAGTGGCGACTAAAAAAATGAATTTCGTCGCTGAAAGTTGCACAAATGGCGACTAAATCCATTTTAGTCGCCAAAAATGAAGACTTTTGGCGACTAAAACCATTTAGTAGCCAAATGTATATGTATTGGCGACTAAAAATCAGTTTGGTCGCCTATTATATGGGTTTCAGCGACTGGCACAATTTTCATCGCCAAAAGTGATGGTTTTTGCCGACTAAAACAATTTAGTAGCCAAAGGTGCTGGTTTTGGCGACTAAAAAGCAGATTGGTCGCCGATGGTAGGTGTTTTGGCGACTAAAACGAGATTAGTCGCTGAAAGTCAAGTTTTTTGGCTACAAAAAAAAATTAGTAGCTAAAAACTGAGTATTGGCATTTTATCAAGGACAGGACTAAGTGGAATATTATAGTAAATTTTGGACTAATTGGAACATAAGTAATTAAAGTAGGATTTATGAAAAAAGCTCCCATTTTTATACTAGATGGATGTGAATTGGATAATTATATAGATTACATGCCCTTTTTAATTGGATGATTATGTAGTTTGGAATTACTTGTGGATGACAACTTATAATAGTTGATGACTTTAATTAAACATGTTAAGAATTAGATGATTTATGTATTTTGTTGGATATTTATGATTCAGTTGATTTTGTTGTTTTGAATGCTTCTTGCAAATTACAGGTTATATTGAATGGTTTGGGTGGATTATTATTATATCATACAGGTCAAATGGAATTATTTTAATATTTTATTTGGATAAACAAAAAGAATTGCATTAGCGACCATGGTTTAGTTTGGTTTTTTCTCTTTTGGTGATCAAGTGTTTAGTCGGCAAAAATAAACTAATACTTTTGCCAACTAAAGTTGTTAGTTGGTGTTTGACCACTCACATTTGGCAACTAAAATGTTGGTAGGCGAAAGGGTACATTTAGCGACTAAATAATTAGTTAGTAAAATTATTAATTTTGTCAATCAAAGTGTTTGGTCGCGAATAGTTCTATTGCCGATTAAACATTACTTTTGGTGACTATCATTTTTGGTCGGGAAATGTGACAATTGGCGACTAAAATATTTAGTCGGGAAAAGTGAAAATTCTACATTTGGCAACTAAAAGAGGACTTTTGGCGACTAAAAATTTAGTCGCCAAAAGTGTTTTTTCTTGTAGTGCCATTCGAAGGTGCCAAAGCT